TTAGACCATCTTAACTCTATAAATTCTAAAATTATATATATTTAAACGGTGATTCTCACCACCATCCTCCACAGTTAGCTACCGTGGGTAAATCTTTGTTTCAGAGAGCACGAGGGATCTGTGACAGTAAACACCTGACTGCCGAGCCCCACCATGTCAAGCAATTTTTGCATGACAACAAGCTTCGAGTCCCGCGCCAACGTCACAGTGAACGAGTGAAGCTGGCCACAGTCGAGCGTGTACCTGCTGTACTACCATATGTTAGAGGAGTCACTGACAAGATTGGCTACATCTTGAAGCGCGCTTCCATCAAAACATACTTCAAGCCGCTGAAGAAGATTGGTCAGTTTTTACCATCGGTCAAGTGTAATGTCCCTCTGCAAGATGCAGGAGTGTACAAGCTTGATTGTGAATGTGGAAGAATCGACGCTTCGGGAAGTCTGCAGTCTGTGAACACATACAGGATCGCCCCCGTCACTACATCAGATTTGATAGACCGCAGATCCTCGCTAAAGAACACCGATTCCTTCCGAGGATGATTCGCGAGGCTATTGAAATCAAAAAAACTAGTATTATTTCAATTTTTTCCATGTATTTGGTTATAAACATATCTATTTTAGTTATTTTATCCAAATACATGTAATGTTAAATATCCAAAAAAAATAGCTCTTTTTATTTTGTAAATTATTTTATATAATTATTTTAAAAATACTATAAATCGTCATCCGCAGACGCCGTTCAATTCGATTCAGTACGCTCCGGGTAATCCCAACGATAGGACGTATTACTTTTTCTCACCGACACCGTGCGATTGCGTTGATACACCGATAGGGCTATACTACACTGTACTAGACCTAGATACCTATAGCACCATCGAGCATTTTAAACGATTGAGACTTTTATAAGCGATATTTTTGATAGTAAGTAATTTTGAAATATATTTATGATGGTAATATTTAAATATTAAATGATGTAATGGTGGCAAATTTTCATTTCATACATATTTTTTTAGTAATGAACGTAAGCAATTCAGATCAAGTAAAAATACAAAATCGTTGGCTTTCACCTTTGGCTCCGTTACAGAGTGACTTGGTAATGAGTTGTAGCGCTGAGCGCCGCGGGTTCGAATCCCACATGGAACAAAAATTTGTATTACCTACAAATAATTGTTCCAGGTCTGGATGCTTGTCCTTATGAAATTAATGTATTTAAACTGCCCTCACGATGTACTTAGGAAAAATTCCTAGTATGAAGATAAAATAAATTATGATTAAACAAAGACATGCCATCAAAAACATAACTTGTAAAATAACCAAGTCTCGCAATGATGATACGTCCGTGCCGCTGTTTTGCTCGACTTGGCGGGGTCACTACCGTGCCCTCAGATATCTCGCCGTAAACGCGAACAATCCGGGTTCGATCCCCGCTTTTTTGCCAGGGACGTCCCGATTTACATGGGTCTAGTGACACGTCCCGATTTACCCTTGATCGGGACGCCAACTGTCCCCATTTTCACTAACCTTCTTATTCTATACTTTAATCCATAATTTTGACAGCAAAAATGATTACATCTGTTAGCTACTACCACATTAAAATATTTTTACTACGACATTGTCTCACCAGTCGAAAAAAAAACACACAAGTTTTAAACAGAATTATATTAAAATGAGTGATTTGAAAAATTCAGGGACTGCAAAAAAAAATAGTTCAAAAATGTTTTCGTTTACCTAAAATGAAAAAAAAAAACAGTTTTTACGATGTTTGGATGAAAAGTTATTCGTTCATGAGATCAGAACCGAATAATAATTATAAAGCACAAAAGTAAAGTAAAGTTACAGTCACAATTTCTCGCATTACTTGCATACTGTGATATTTACAGTGAGCGTTGACCATCTGAACTACCACGGCTCTCCATAAAGCACAAAAAAGGCTACAAAGAAACCTATATTTTGTAGTCATTGTAGATGTCCGGATATGAAAACCAAATCCCCGATTATTTTTACCTTCCGTCCCGAAATTTTACTTGCTAGACCTGGCAACACTAATCCCCGCCGACACTAATGAAATTGTTAGTTTGATGAATTATGTTTACATTATGAAACAGAATAAAAGTTTATCAAATGATATACAACATGTAACATAATTAACGCACTTTGAGAAAATACTTTGTTCAGAATCGTTTACTGAATCGATTCCTATCATTTTAATATATTTTTTATCCCAAAAATAATTAAAACTACGTAAATTACAATCACACTGAATATGTACAGTCATAACAAACTGAAATGGACCGTAACTTAAGGCAGTAAGACTTTTAAGAGTGCAGTTTTATTTGTATTATTACTAATTCTGTCATTCAATAAAAATAAAGAAAAATAAATTTTATTTCAAGAATGTTAAAGTCTTTGCTTTCGTGGATTTTTACTGTGACCACAACATTCTTTCGGAATTAGGATAACTAATTTGATAAATAATCAGTGCATTAAAATGTTTAACTAAAAATTATGTGTATGTATGATTATAACATAATATATTAATTGGGGTGTCTGAGGGTGTGCGTTAATTACGTTACATATTGTATATTTTATACAATACATATTTTTCAATTAGAACATATGTTATAATATACTCAATAGGGTGAAAATGTAAAGCCGACTTCAGTTTACTAAAAGAATTAAACAATTTCCACATATTAGCCTCCGATTTCTATACACTATATACGCCATTATATGGAAATTATTTTTTTATTATTTTAGTTCCAATAGTATCAAAGACAGGTATATAATCAAAGATCAAAGTGATTCTAAAGGCAACTATTATAGCCTCACGCTCGTCCTGACACGCACAAAGAGATAATGTGCGTCAATATTACGCCGTTCCAAAGCGATCGCGTAGATTTCGACTTAGACATATTTGAATATGCGCTCTTAATAGGCTTGTAATCGGGAGCTTGCACCGTCTATAACGACCTTGATGCTCCGATCTACAAGAAAGCTGTTGATCCAATTGCACAATTTCTCGGGATTCTTCGTTTAAAATGTGTTTTTCTATTTTTTGAGTATAGTGTTCAAAGACCTGGCCCAGGCTTCATACATTTTAGAACAACTCATTTAAAATAATTTTTTATAATTATAAATTTAAAAATAATAATAGTTTGCCATATTTATAGCTGCCCGGGAGATTAAACAAGTACGGAGTATGTTGATAAAATTTAGATACTTTTGCATAGAAATACTTAATATTTATACAAGGTTATTGGTATTATTAGATAGGGTCAATCATGTTTCTTTTAATTATTGTATGATAAATATACTTTATTATGCGACAATATCTAAGAAAATAAAAGAATATCGGTTTTTAGCTAGATTATAAAAACTAATCTTTTTTTACCCGTTGCATTTCAATTGGGTAAATTCTTATTAAAGTAATTGAACTCTGCATTTCATTAGCTTTCTCTGTGTAACTTTTATTCTAATATAGGTAAAGAACTTTCTTCGTGATAACCGTTTTAATCGATATGGTCGCGATCGGACCGTAAAAAAGCCGCAATGAGCGGCGCGTGGCGTTCAAGGCTATTATCGCCGTGTCGCTCGGTTGCAGGTTGCAGTGATTACTGGGTATTCTGACTGGTATTTATTCCTACGACCAGGGTTAGTCCCTGTTGAACAATTTACTGAATTCTTAAGACTAAATTAGGTTCGTACCATACCGGAGATGAACCATAACTGGTATTCAATATATCCAAATAATTAAATGATTTTAGAATATCAAGTTATCTTTTATTATTTATAATATTAGATATCTATACTACAATATAATATCGTGAAATCTTAGTGATGTTACACATAATTTTGTCAATAAAAACTACGAATTTTTAATGCTATTCTTTAACATTATAAATTCGTTGCGAATCATTTTATTACTGTTACCAAAACAACTGACTAAACATTAGAGCGATGACGAGCACATGTTAAAATCAAGTCTTAAAATTACAAATAATACTCGAAAATTCATTGGTGCCCCGCGATAATCGCGTGCTCTGCTGTCATTAACATTTATATGGATCATTAACGATACGTTATAGAAATATAGCGATACCGATTGTTATATTTTTGAAAACTGCCTTGCGTTTTTGCATCGTTACGGTAACTAGGTAACGAAGATTCGTACTACTTATAAAATAGTTTAATTTTTCAAATAATTTAATTTTAGTTATCTTTATTGATTTCGTTAAAAGTATAATAGGGTATTAGATCCATTTGAAAACATTTAATTTTTAAATTAATCCTAGATGATAATGAACCACTTTAATTTTTATACAATTTTTAAAACCTAGTGCTATAAAAATTACTTTTAATCTATCGTTTTAAATTTTCATTTTAAAATACCAGTCGCCATGCAGTTCAACTTGTGACGTCACTGTCCTAGAATTTTGCATATTTTTCAGAGGAATAAGATATTTTTGGGTGTTTAATAATGAATTATCATCTATATCATTGTTGTGATGTGCCTGAATGCAAAAATACGAGCATATGAACGCCGGGGAAGTTATAGAAGTATCAACTGATTTATATATGAGAAATATTTGGTTTAAACTGATAAGAAGAGAGCCGAAGGCATTTTCTACAAAATCTAAACTATACTTCTGTGAAGATGACTTTGATGTAAGTATGACTTATAATTAACTATCGTTTATATAAAACACAAATTTTGTATTAGTTTAGCTTAATCGCTAGTCTATCCCGTCCTTTGTGGGCCATTTTGACAAAATGCCCTTGCAAGTGCAGTTCAGTGTTTTACTTAATTCGTGTTTTCTTCTATTATATGGGAATAATGCCATTAATTGCTTAAAAAAATATAAGAAAAAGTTTTTCTCATCTAAGCTTATATTATAATATCTAAAAAAATCTAAAATCAAAGTATTTGATTTCAAATGTGATAAAAATTATTGCATATTTTAGCTGAAAATTTGTATGGAAAATTACACACAATATAAAATTATGGGTTCTGTTAAACGAATCCGAATGAAACTGAACTGCACACAATCCAGATTTGATTACCAGGTAGATATAAAACGCAAGTTCACCCCGAAAAAATCACAGAATGCCTTTATTAAACGGCAAAGAATGTCTCCAATTAATGAGATTGAAAAATGAGGAGAAATATATTAAATCATTACCATATAATTTAATTCTATTTCCTTGATTTTATTTATAATTTATGCCGATATCAATAAACTATCAATAAATTAACATTAAAAATTAACCTTAACTCAATATTATTTCCAGATTTTCCGATACTTCAAAATAAGTGAATAAGCAGTCTAAATAGCAACAGCGAGGGAACATAAATTCATTCAAGTTCGGTGGATGATACACCACCGAAGTAAATATGTGCAGAGTGAGAAATAAAGAAAGCATGACATCATGTTTCAAGGCAACTGTACCTAAGTGTACTGCAACATCACCCTTTAAAATGTTCAAGAAAATTACAATCAAGCTGTTATCCGTAAGAAAGAAACTGAATTTTGTTGGGAAAAAAATACGGGAGTGATGAGTCATACACTCCATTAATATCAGGTTCAATAGTTGATAACGAGTCTTCTCCATACAAAATAATTAGTAAATCAAAGACTACTTTAGATAGCTATCCAAATAATACCAAAAACATTGAAAAAATAATTTGCTACCCCTTTATTTCAGATTAAAAATTCATAAGCCTTGATTATACATTAGACTACGGAAGTAACTGTATTTAATATAGGATTTAATTGAAAACTGCACCAATGTTTCTCAACAAAATATTTTGTTATGTTTAATGGGAATAAAATTGAGTAGAACATTTTCACAAATGGCTGACGATTTCAGTTTATCAATAACACATGCAAGCAATATATTTTTCTATAAGATACCAAAATTTTAAACGCACTTTCCCCCTTTATTAAACAGTTATCAATCGAATCTATCAAGATAAATTTACCCGTTGCTTTCAGACATAAATATAATAAAGTCACATGTTTAATAGACTGCTTAGAAATTGAAATTCAAAAACCAAGAAAAGTCATGCAACAAGCATTTAACCTTTAACCTGGTCAGAATACAAAAAAAACTAAATATCTTCTGGCGTATATATGTACAACTGACGGTCTGGTAAGTTTTGTGTCTGCTGGATATGAAAAAAGGGTAAGTGATGTAAACCTCATTGAACATAGCAAGTTTTTAGATAGCTTGCCACAATGCTTCATTGTAGATGGCAGTGGTTTAAGTACCTTGAACATTTTTTATCTCAAAAAGGATTTAATTTGCTGAGGCTTCAAAGTGTTTCTACTGGTTCTAAATGACAAAAGATGAATTGCGGCTGTATAGTCCAAATTGTAACAACGTAAAACTTGCAAAACGCTCGTCTCGGGCGAAGAACCGGTTTGACGGTTTGCGCGGGGGGCATTCGTTTGCGGCCTGCGGCCGGCCAATTAGACTAGAATATTCTTTTGTACACAACGGCCGTGTCGATTAGAGGTCGGGAAGTTAAGTTAGAATCGTTGCGTCGCATTAAGACTGCCTCCTTTGCGTTGTCTTATTTCGTTTATATACGTGACAACGAGGCTTTCCTTGAGTTTGAGTGATTAACTTAACTTCGATTGCCATTAATTTAAGTCGACGAGTGGCTTGTGTAGAATTTTAATATCGTACGAAGGACTTTTGCTTTGTCGGTTGGAACGCTAAACTTTGTGACCCGGGAGGAGATCGCGTTCCTTCTTCGATTATAGTTTTGTGCTAAGTGACGTTGGACTTGAGTTCAGATAACGGTGAACGCCCACTGGAGTGATTGCACTTTGTGGAGCAGGGCAGCGCTTGTGGTTCTGCTAGCCGATTACATCGGTGACGTCAGGTTACATTACACACCTTCCTACACCATTCACATCTACCATTTACTTACCCCTGACGGTACCTTGTGGTCGACCCTACCTCCGGAACTCGGTAAGTTTGTGTTTGCTTATCCAGCCATTACATAGCAATTATCCATAGGCCATTTGGGCCCGAACCCTTGGTTGCCCATCGAGGTGGATTACTGATGGGTCCTAGTCCAGTCGACGGAGCAACTGATGGCCGTAACATTTTCTGGTAGCAGAGCGTGGTTTCGATCCACGGACCTCTGGGTTATGGGCCCAGCACGCTTCCACTGCGCACTCTGACACACACACACATACAACACAACACACACATACACACACACACACACACACACACACACACACACACACACACACACACACTTTTCAAGTTTTCTTCAGTCGTGCGACGCTCGCGCATCTACCCGGTCGCGCTGTCCGTTGTGCGTGTTGTGTGTGTAAAGGATTTAAAATGTCCTCAAAGGTGTTGAAATGTTCGAGCTGCAACATTGTAATAAACGAGACTCTAGCTTTTATCGATAACAAGAAAGATGTTATGGACGACGAAAGTCTAATAAATATATGTGTGAGTGCTTTCTCAGAAAGTGATATTGAAACGGCAAAGAACTTGTTGTTTGATTCGATCCCGGAAAAGACGCGGAAAATAGTTCGGAGAAAAGATACTCGAAAAAAGAACGGTAAGGCTCGGAAGGATCTGGACGATATTATTTGTCTGCTACGGAGTACACATTCCAAAGATATTCCCGTATTTACTGCTAGGGCTCTTGAAAAACTCCCTCCCGTCTTATGGGACCATGTAGATATGACGAGAATTCTAAAAGCCATAGTCAAAATGCAACGAGATATCAGCATGATTATGAAGGACTGTGCGAAGCAGGAGGATTTAGACCGGTTGAAGTCTGAGATAAATATCCTTAAGGATACGTCGGTGGTAAATAACTATGGGCGCAACATTAACTTGCGTCGCGTAGGCTTCCTACAAAACAGCTTCGAGTGCCAAAGTGGTCCTATGGGATTGCCTCCCTTACCTAGTGAAGGGCCTAATGATGTAAACGATATCTCATTACGAGAATCAATATATCGGTACATGGAATTGAAATTAAAGTCATCTGAAAGTAGTCGTATCGCGCCGCTATCCGACAATAGTAAGTTGCGTGAATCACCCGAGATAGTGGTTACGATGACTCACCCGGCACAAGCTCAGCTGAGTCAGCCGCCGCCACCGGTGCCTACAGCTCAGGAAGTAAACACCGAGACTTGCGCCGACGAAAGCGCGAAACACACGGCCGCCGCACACATAAAACCGAGCGACCCAATATTATTGCAGGTTAATAAAAGCGTAAACGCTGATGTACTCGCAACGAATTTACAGAATACGCGTAGTGAAGAGCATGCAAAGTCTATGTCAGAAATTGTCCGTGAAGGCAATTGGAGATCAGAAGTAAGTAGTGATGAGTGGATAAAGGTTCAAAAGAAAAGGTTGCGTAATCGTTTTTCTGGATACAGAGGGAAGGCTATGTCAGAGACTGGAGACAATTTCAGAGAGGCAGAGATTAAGGTCCCCGGTATACATTTATAATGTGGCGAAGGGAGTGTCTGTGAGTGATATAACCGATTACGTAAAGAAAAAGAGTAAACTTGACGTCAACGTAGAAAAGATGAAAATGAAAATAACAAAAGATTTCGAGTCGTACAAAATATTTGTACCTAAACATAAATTAAATGTATTTATGTCAGAAACCTTTTGGCCAGAAGGAGTAGCCTACAGGCGTTTTATTGACTTCAAACATCGTGAAAAAGGAAGTGCCGTCAAGGCAGGGGTGAAAAATCAACTTTCAAAATAGGTTACACCAAATTAGTCAGTTTTAACTGTAAGAACGTAGTTCGATCGGTGGAGTGTGTGCGACGGCTATGTCGCTCAGCGGACGTGGTCGCCCTACAGGAGACCTGGCTGCTGTCACACGACCTCGCTTTCCTAGGAACCATCGACAGTGATTTCGCTTTCGCGGGCACCTCAGCTGTCGATACTGCGAACGGTGTGTTACGCGGGCGACCATACGGAGGTGTGGCCCTTCTCTGGAGAAAAGCTGTTTTTCCTTATGTAACCGTAGTGAAGTGTAGAAGTGTCAGGCTTGCGGCGATTAAAATCGAGCTAAGTGATCGTTGTTTTATAGTCTTTTCAGTGTATATGCCGATAGATAAAAAAGAAAATCTAGTGGAATTCACAGAGTGTCTTAGTGAGATGGCGGCTATTATTGAAAGTCATAATGTGGAAACTGTGTTTATGTACACTACAACGCGCACCCTGGTGAGTCTTTTGACACAGAACTATTGTCATTTTGCTCTGAACAATTATGGACGTGTGTAGACAGAGACTTGTTGCCATCGGATACCTATACTTTTGTGAGCGAAGCGCATGGTAGTTTAAGGTGGCTGGACCATGTTGTGGTCACGACCGCGGCGAGGCCTACTGTACTTTCTGCAATGTGTTCTTTACGACACGTACTGGTCCGATCACTTTCCTGTATTGATGGAGTGTAATTTCAATATTGTAACACCAAAATTAGCTCAGTCAAATAATTGTATTAATAAAATCATATGGGGAGAGCGTGATAATGATCAAATTGGTGAATATTACAATGAATGTAACTCCAGGTTAAAATTAATAGATTTTTCAGCAAAATTTTTGAATTGTTGCGATAGTATGTGTAGTAACCATCAACACAAAATAGCGCTTGACAGATTGTATGAACATATTGTGTGTATACTTTCGGAGGCCGCTATCTGTAGTTATAGTATTAGGACGGGGCGAAAAGGTAAATACTTACCTGGTTGGAACAAACACATTCGCGAGGCACATGGGAGGGCTCGACGTTGTTTTTAAAGTTGGTCACTACATGGCAGACCCGGCTCTGGTCACGCATATAATGAAATGTGTGAATCGAGACGCATTTTTAAAGCTAAATTAAAATGGTGTCAAAATAATCAGACACAAATACAAATGGACATAATAGCTGAACACCACAAAAGAAAGAACTTCGGTGAGTTTTGGAAAGCCACCAATAAAATGAATCATAAGTTGAGCCTTCCCGTGAGTGTTTCGGGAGCTTGTGATCCTAGTGATATTGCTAAGGTGTTCAGAGAATACTTTAG